TTTTTTTTTGAGAGGAAGTAAGCTAAAATTAAGTTCCAAACATACCATGCGAGAACAGGGTTAAAGTTTTAGCCAAGGGTATCATGACCTCTCCTGTTTTTCCTTATGGACCAAATGGAGAAATTGAAAAAGTGTGTATAAGATAAACCACTCCTATGATAAAAAATTCTAGTCAGTCTTGAATGCTGTGAACTCAAATGGATCCAGTAGTAAAAATGTTGAAATGCCTGACTGAATTACGTACATGGACCTCCTCCCTCAGATACTGTGTCAAACAAACCTTTTGGTTAACTGTATCAGGAAACAGTCGATGACCAATGAAGTATTTATTTAGTGAATCTTTTTTGTTCAATGATAATCTATAAACTAACGTACGAGTCGCCCAAATTTGGGCAAGTTGTCACAAGAAACCTCAAAACTTTCAATCAATGGACTGTATTTGGACAATTTCTGTCGACTACCAGACTTAACCCGCTAGATAATGGCGTACCCCATGGTTGGGTCAAGTTTAATTCCCACTCTTGGTGGGTAAGAGAGACATGTGGCGAACATGTAATTCCTTCATCGCAACTAGTTAACTACACCTGCCTGAGGTTTTCTTCATCACGTAGCTACAGAGAAATAAATGGAGTACTGATAACTGTCCCTTTCTTTACGAAAATTTGGAGATCTCAATGATAAACAATAAGAGGCAAAAGGTATCCATCGACTATTTGTTCATCACACTCTCTGAACAATTTCAGACACCTTTTCCCATAGATGAAAAGTAATCAAGACAAGTGATAGTGAAGTACACAACTACGCTTAGGTCCAAACGATACTTAGGCAGAGAGCGAATCAACTTCAAGAGAGAAGGGCTGAAGCGGCATTTTACATATGACGAACAATTGATCATTTCAATCGAATCAAATTTCACTTATTAAAGGGGATATCAGAATTGCTTGCCCCTTTAGCAATACAGAAAAGATACGTTATGAAGTTCAATATCCAAAACGTCACGAGAAAAATGCTTCAGAAGAATTTTTGAAATGTTAAAAAATGATCACATGAATTAGAACATCACAATATTATTCCTCTATCCCTAAGAATCCGACAAAAAGTGATCTAAGGATTGCTGGGTATGGTGTAGAGGGAATACAATAAATATTATTTCACAAATTTAAAGTAACAATTTCCACAATAACCGTTATGAATTTGGTAAGTTTTCAAATATTTACGAAATTATTGAACATCTTATTTAAGGATTTTGATGTTTTACCAGATTTCGTTATGAATTTGTGGTATACCATTACTATTATTATTGTTTTTTATCATTGCTCTATTTTACATGACCGTTTCACCCAGAGAAAGCTAGCTACAAATTATCACGTCTTGGTTCAAGCAATATTTGATCAATACTTTAAACGACGACGTGTGATATCGTCATTTACAATAACAATTAGTTTAGTTTATGATTTCACACTAAAACCATTTGAACATCGTGGTTTAAACTTTTATTCAAACATTGAGTTAGTCAAGGCCGATTAATTTGAATGTAGCATTCCCTGTTTGAAGCGGTCATATAAAATAAATTCTCATATATACTTCACTGGAACTAAGTAAACGTAGAACTTGACATATACAAATCTATTGCTATGAAAGAACTGTTAGTAAAAGTTTAACCTTGATTCAGAGTGCTTATTAAATTTACGATTTATTAAATTTAAGAGATTTTTGAAGTATTAAAAAGAAGTTAACTAGGGGGTTAAAATAGAACGTACGTTCGCCTCCGTAATTTCACGTAAAATACTCAAATATTCGAAAAAATGTAGATGAGCTTATTTAAAAATCTATCTTTAAGGAACAGACTTAATTAAGGGGAAATCTCTATCTTTAATATTTTAGTTGTAGTAAGCAAAACTGAAGCCAAAAACATTTTGAACTTTTCTATAACTCAATCAACTCAATGTTATCAATGAACTTGAAACCATCATTTAAACGTCATTCACACTATCCAGAAACCAAATTAAATCAAAAACAATGAAGACATTTTTTTGAAAATTTGGAAAATGTCCCAGGGGCTTCATTTAAAGTCCCTTCCCAAATTTAAATATCGGTCTCTAGGGGCCATGACATTAGTGAGATAAATAATGGAACATAAGTATAGGAAACAAAATCGGTTGAACTGTTTAACCGCCAGCGTTGCTTACAGACTGACGTTTTGAAATCATTCGGTTTTTCGGTATCAAGTACCCACAAAACATGTATTCTGGCTACACTATGTGATAGAGTTTTTTCTTTAAATTTTACAACTGGATTTATCCACTCTTTTGGTACCAGGGCTCTGTAATAGAGTTTTTGTGTCGAAGATACACGGTTTGTGTTCGGAGGCTTCCGCAGCCGGAGTCAATACATTCTTGGCTAACCGGGATGTGCCGCGGATTGACCGAGAAGTGGCTCATCCCGGATAGCCAAGAATGTATACGCGGTTTTTTCGCGCAGCATAACATTCTCTGTACTCCATTGGGGGAAAGTAAAATAGGGATCATATATTGACAAGATATGTTGTAAAGCGTAGAATTAGCGTTTTGAGAACTTCAGTGTACAGGAAAATGTTTTATAAGTATTATGAAACTTGAAATTATAATGAAAGAGCTATAAAATAAATGTGCGAGTTTATTCAAGGCTATTATGTAGCAAATAATTTATAATTTTTACTACGAAATTTCTTTATGTAGAGATGTAAATATTTCTATTTAGCTCCTCACGATACAACAAAAAATGAAGCAGCAGACAATACTTCATCATATTTATCAGAGCTCGACGAGTAGCTGGTATTGTAACTTCTCTTGAGGTACTAATTTTCGTATCGAACTCGATAACAAGATCCAATACTTAAAATATATTGATATCAAGGTAATCATCTAATGGGAGACCAGTAATTTTATTATATCGATTTTGTACTCGTATAATAAAAAATATAACACTCCAATGAGAATGAGATAAACATGATATTCTTCATATTTTTGTAAATGGACAGTGAATCGTTTCAATTACAACTGACGTGAGATATGATGAAATTGTTTTTATACATCCAGAAAGTCTGAAAACACAAAGAATGAATGCTCATCACTTGCTACAGTCGTTTAGGTTTTTCCAGAACACAGTAAACATCACAATAACCTCTGTAAGGCTTTCACATTTGTAAGAAATCAAAGTGAGAATGAGAATGCCAAATCACAGCAGGACATTGGAATGTAGAGATAAGCCAACGATGATAAGAAAAGTGTTACAAATTTAGAAGAGATATGGTAGTTAATTAAATACTTCCATTTAATCATGACAAATATGGTGAAGAGTCGAGATAAAACAGCCCAAAAACAACTATAAGAGACAAGAAACACAATAGGTGTCACCTTTTCATCGTCATGAAGACGTTATTGGTTGCTCTTGCCTGCATCGCTGGCGCTCTTGCTGTTCCTGTGAATCCCACAGGTGAGACTTGATACAAGTGAAAGAAGTAGATCAACAATCTCTTAGTGGATTTATATTATTTATATTATATTATATAGAAATATAGAGTAAAAGAGCTCAGAACCGATTGTAGCACCTTTCTTTCCAAACTTCTAACCTAAATGTTTCGACTTGAAAATTAATTTGCCGAACTCAACCCAATTCCTTACGTAAAAACTCCCGTTTCTTTTTAGCACAGTGTTCATAATCGTTGTTTTTTTCCAATGAATCTTTTACACTAAATTATTTGCAGCCAACCTAAAAAAACTACAGATCTGTCTTTTCTTGATAATTTCCTAAGTGCACTTTTGTGTGACTCAATACTTTTTTCTCCTCATTTGAATTGCAGTCTCGTACCTCAGTAGATGCTTTTCTTAAAAGAGAATGTCATGTTTGTACTGTGAAGTCCTGCGACCCGTATCGAGTAGAGAAACAGATCGATGTCAATTTCTGCTAAATGTGTCTTCAGTAACAGTATCTGGCCTATGTGCTTCCGCTCTCCGGAGGATACCAATTACGCGGCGGGGGGGGGGGGGGGCAGCGGGGGACTCCAGATTGATTGATGATTCCGGGATTGTCAATTTCTAAGGTCATTCATCCCGTAAGTGTAATGCATGCCCCTGGAGGTGACTGGGATCTCTCCCCGCGGTATGTCGAGATCTGGCGCCGACCTTCCGTCGGCTAGCGGGGTTTCCTTCACCCAGGTATCTCCCACCAGCCAGGACAAGTTCTAAGCTCCCGATCAGTCTCTCGGTATGTGTGGTAGTGTCGTGTTATTGATTAGGGGACTTTTCAATCGTTGAATTCATTGAGAGGATGTGTAGACGGTTCCAACGAAGTAGAAGACATTTTTTTGTTATTTAGCTATGTATTTTCCGGATTTTTTCTTAAGTTTGGTATTACACGTTTTTGACAAACTGTCCTCTAAAAGACAGCATTATTTATTTACTAAGTTACTGTGTACGAAGCAATCATCAAAACTTACTTCTCTTTTTCAAAATCAGAAGTGAAATATTTATCAACAAAAGAATTGGCATAATTATATCAAAACTCTCGATCTCGTTAACTTTGTATGATTTATTTTACACTTTTCTAGCTTTATCTGCCTCTTCAATGAAATGATTTTTATTTTTGATAGTTCAGAAGCGATAAAAACCGACGTAATGACGATTCAACATTACTTTGAGGTTTGATGTGAATTTAAAAAAAATGTTTCATGAATATTTTATTTCACTTTAATGTACAAATCTTCCAAGTTAAAGTTCTGTATCAATCGATTCGACTTAGAATTATAATTTCAATAAGAACCATATAATCAAGAAAGAAAAGTTTGGAATTTCACACTTTTATAACACAACCCCCAAAAAATATTTAAAAAGGTTATAAATAAATTATAAATGCATAGTGTAAATGAATACATTTTAAAATTCAAATGTAATGTATGGCACGCATATCGTGTGTTCATGAAGCTTTTAAACCAATGCATTTATTTTGCTTGTTTGATAGGAGAGGCGCCGCTATGGACTCGCAGCGGCCAATGGCAGGGCGACATTGTGTTGTCTCCTGAGCAGAAGGTGGCCATTCGAAGCGGGCGGACCGGCCTCATTAACACCTTCTACCGCTGGGGCGACAGGACCATTCCCTACAAGCTCAAAGACGGCGACTTCAGTAAGTACCCGATGACTGTATTTTGTTCGTGCAACGTTCCTGACAGTGTCTTTTATATATTAAAATAATATACATGGCGATTCATTTTATCGCTTAACGTTGATAGTTCTGGCTTTCGAAGGTAAATGCATAAACAATTTATAACGCCTCCGCGAGGACCGTCGACTATCATTTCCCGATAGCACCTGCTAAGGGTTTTTCTTTGAGATGGATGTATGATTTTTAAGCCTTGACGTGTGTTATCCTTTAGACAGAGGGGGAGTTTCCGTTGTATGTCATCAGTAGAAAGCTGGCAAGAGAATGGGATAAGACCGAAAATCTAGCCTAGCCCAAAGAAATTAGATCAAATATGTGGCATTCTGTAGCAACACTGGTTTGAAAAATCTAAAGGATACATCAAAATAATTTTGTCATGTTTATTATAACATGTTGCACTATTCGTGTAAACAAAATTGGAGCCCTTTCTGATATAATCATGTTTTTAAAATTCCTTTTATTTCATGCTAAATTACTCGAAAACTATCCCTGTATACTGTATCTAAAATGAATGTTTTCAACACCAGGAATGTTGATGGATCACTTATTTTTTATTTTTCTTTGCAAGCGGTAGGTAGACAAGATTTCTTTCATTTGCAGAATATTTTTCCTTTCAATACCGAACAATTTAATTCCTACACACTTTTTTATTGAATAATTACATTCTTTGGCCAGTTAGGCTCTGGGCAGCAGAAGATGAAAAAATCGAATATTAAATACAGAAAACCAGTAGCAATAAAAATGCAGTCAAGCATCAAGAACAAAACTATTTCATGTGGTTAAATAAGATCGAAAGGAGGTGCTGGAGGTTCAAAGAATTGTTTTGGTAATTTTGCGTTTTAGTCAGTTTTGATGGAATTCCTACACACTACCACCCGAATTGAATTGAATTGAATTGAATTGAATTTGCCTTATTTTACGTGGCGAGACTCGGGCCATCAGGCCTGCTCTTCCGTCCGACCACGCAAATTTCGCTACGCTCCTTTCATCTAGCAGAGAAAGAAGGTATTTCTTGGGCGAGAAACAGGCGATTTGAATTTAGCTCACAGGCGTCATTTAGGCTTGAAGATCTTTTACATGCAAGTAAATCTACGAACATGAGACTGCCGGATTTACTTCCCCTCCGAAAGAAGGTGTATAAAGGATTTTTTCGCCCTTATAAATACACTCTTCGATCGGGTTTGAACCCGCCAACTTGGGCACAACAGTCCAGTACGCGAACCGTTACACCATCGTCGCCGCCAAAACCGAAAACCAAAGAGAAGACGTTGACCCGCGTAATCTTTTTTTCAGATGAGGCGCAGGCAGCGATCATCCGCAACTCCCTGGAGGAGTACAACACGCGCACGTGCGTGCGCGTGCGCGAGGCCACGGCCGCGGACAGAGACTGGGTGCTGGTCACGCGCGAGGACAGCGGCTGCTGGTCCTACGTCGGCCGTCAGGGCGGAGTGAGTGACGCTGTGCTATTCCGTTGCTTTTCACTCTCTCGCCTCACAAATGAACTTCGCCAGAAGAGAAAATTACGTAATTGAGAGCCGGAAAACGGCGAATTTTCGACAGAATACCTCTAATCGCTGGGAAAAAGTGGATAAATCCTGTTGCTAAATTTAAAAAAAAAAATTCTAACACGTGGAGTATCCAAAATTAATGTTCGGTCGATACCAAAATATCGATTGACGGGAAAAACATCTATTCGTAGCCAACGCTAGCGCCTAAACCGTTCAGCCGGATTTCTTCAAAATTGGTATTCACTGATCGATCTGAATGAACTCGTTGCAATGGAAGTTTCAAACGGATATTTTGATTTTTGAGGGTATTAATTCAAATATAGCCTCAAACAGATTTTTAAAATTATCTCAAAAACGGCACCAATTTAAAAAATTAAATGTTGGTGCTATCAGTACTAAAAACGTCGTTTGTGAAGAAGGATTGAAATGAGTAAATATTTAGTAGCTTTCCTTTTCAATCGAACATTTGTTATACGTATTTTCTTGTAATGAAGAAGTTTTAACTTTAACATTTACCAAATTTGTATGTGCGACGGTATCCTCTGACATTAAAGCCAATCAAATCAAGTATTATTTTAACAATATTAGTTTGGCTTTAGTATACCTGTATCGTTAGTAGATTTATGTCAATAAAATATTGTTTAAATAGTAATTGACAATTTCCTGTGTATTTCTTTTACTGTCTTTGCTGGGTAAGTTTGAGCTGTGTAGCTACAAATTGTACTTGTTTTCAGCAACAACAACTGAACCTGCAAGACAACCAATGGGGCACGTGCCTGATCTCAGGAACTGTCGTTCACGAATTTCTGCACGCTTTCGGATTCTACCACCAGCAGAGCGCCACCGAGCGGGATGATTATGTGCAGATCTTGTGGGACAATATCCAAGATGGTAGGTCGTTCGCATGAGCATTAACAGTAATTTATGCTGCAAAACAGAAAAATAATATTTGATTCACCAAAGAATGAAATCATTTTTATTCCGGTTTACCCTACATGATTACAAATGTATATTTACAAAATATTTACCCATTACTACTTAACGAAAGCGACAAACTTTATATGGTATATTCAAATCTTGCATGTGTGCTCAAATGGAACACATCGTTCATTGTTGTAATAAGGGAAAATTTTACTAAATACTTTGACTATAGCATGATTCAAAATTTGTATTTGACGTGACCAAATATTTTAATTCATTACATAATAAAAGAATATTTTCAGCAGTGAAGAATAACGAATAATGCTCTAATAGATAAAAACAGTTTTTGGAGACGTACGACTGATTGTCTATTAATTTGATTTTTATTTTAAATTTCGCAGAGGAATCCGAAAGGAAAATAGATTTCGGTTAAATTATCTTCTAATACGTATAACATTTGATTATTTTATTTTCATTTTGGATCGGCAGTAGACAAACGTGATGTGTAATTCGTTAAATGCACTGAATTAATTAACAATATCCGATTTTCTCTACGTCGTAACCAAACGTTACAAAACTTTCGAACGTTTGGTACAAGCACAAGGAACGTTCTATTCACGAGGCAGTTTATAAACAAGCATGCATAATTATATTCATGGGTGCAATTAACAGCTACTGGTTTCAACTTTCAAAGTTCAGGAACATTTTTTCGTTAATATTGAAAGAGCGGTATTTGCCATCAGGGAAATAAAAAATAATATCTTGAGTTCTATGAAAGTCATTCTGAGAAATAGTTTCCATCAGTTTCCTTGATATTCTGTTAGCAAAGAAACAATATTTTAAGGTCATATAAAATATTCAGTAAACACAATATTTTTGAATGAGTTAATATTTTAATTCACGAATGAAAATTCGTTTAAAATGAATTAATGAGATCCTACTCTAATATTGTAGGCTACTGTCTTGAGTGATAATAATTCCACACCTTCTGAAATGAAATTCATGAATGAGATTTACAAAAATATCGTTTTAAATGTGCTTTTACTTGTGTAATCGAATGTCTTGTTATGGTTTCATTGGCTGTGGTTATTTCTTGAAATTCATTACAGATGCTCTTACATTATTTTTCAGGAACGGCATACAATTTCGACAAGTATGGAGCTGATCTTATCTCTGAATTCGGTGTTGAATACGACACTGAAAGTGTCATGCACTATGACAAATATGCCTTCAGCAAGAATGGACAGCCCACAATTATTTCTATCCGGGTAAGTCTTTGTTAAATTTGATAACAGTTATAAAATACTTACTTATTCACATTATGAAGATTTTCAGTAAATTAACTGAATGATTTCTTGTGACTGGATAATTGCGAGTTTTTGAATAATTGTTTTCAATCTCGTTATGGCAGTAAAACTTGCTTCATTTTATACTGTCCATTCAAATTAAATAGTCATAATTTGGTAAATATTAAACTATTTGTGAAAGTTAAAAAATTAAATCACAATACAATGTTCTCTTTCCTCGAATAAAAACTTAATTAACTACTCTTAACCCTGAACATTGGTTGAGAAGACCGAAATACGGCGTGGGGATGTCTACGTGCTAACAACACGTAACGCCTCAACCCATGGCCGCGAGGCAGGGACGTCGCCGGTAGCTCTGTGCCCATTCACGGGCTGTCGCGCCAAGTACATACATACATACATATATACATACAAACATACGTACATACATACATACATACATACATACAACCCTAAATATTATTCTTGCATGATGTGATTTTTCCCCATGATTTTGAAAATGAAGTGACAAGCTACTATTCTCTTTTCTTCAGCATTGGTTTGGTGCAATTTTTCTGATACAATGCAATTTTTTATACTTGAAACTATTAAAAAATGTTATCAAGCAGATTTGGGTCAAGACTATACTTTAGGGCGTCTCTTATTTCCAAATGATAAATGTTTGAACGAGAGTGCTTCGATTGGATTTGCATTTTGGTTTATAATATTGTGATAAATTACTTCGGTTTCTAAATATAATGAAAATATTTTTGAGTGTACCTATGCTGTCCAGTACACAATGCAATATTTAAAAAAATTGCAGTACCTTACATGTTTACAGAACGACATAATTTAGTGTAAATTGTAATATTGTTTTCTTTTTTGCAGGACCCCAACCAAAGTCTTGGAAACAACAGGGGACTCACCGACAGAGATATTCTGAAACTGAATCGCATGTATGGCTGCTGAAAATAGTGTGAAAAGTGCGCAACAATAAATAACTTTAAAGCAGATGTTTATTATTTAACAACCCCACGTTTTATATTGTCCTCATATTAATCCTTTTCCATTATCCTATGAACGAGAGATGAATTGACGTAGCGCAAAATTTATCGTTTTGTCGGTAGAAGTTACGAATCTCATTCGGTCACGTGAAAACACTTGATTGTGGAATATGACCCAGAAAGGTATGCGAGTGGTTTCCTTTAGACACAAGAATGAGAGGTAGTCCCAGAGAAAAATGGCAGAATAAGATTTTTTAACGATATGCAAAGATGAGGACTAGAAGAAAATGACTGGAACGATAGAGTGGTATGGAGATTGGGATGCCAGAAACGGCCACAAGAGCTTTAAAATACTCACAAGAAGAAGAAGAAGAAGAAGAAGAAGAAGAAGAAGAAGAAGAAGAAGAAGAAGAAGAAGTTACGAACCATCACACTAAAAAAAGTACAAATCATAGAGTTGTATTCTAGCAATGCAGTGTACATCTCCCGTCAAATTCCTTAAAAATATCATAACATATCTATTTTATAGCATATATTTTATAGTATATATTTTGAAACCCACTGTATTAGTAAATTCAATTCTTAATTTTAGTTTTTTATTTACATTTTCTTATACAGCGAGGCAATTGCTTTAAAAGAGTGATAAGAAATTGCAATTTAGCACGCATAACACTGAGATACACTATGAAATGGAGAGTGAAGATTCTCCCACTTGAGATCTCAATAATCAGAAGTTATTTTATTCACTGTAAATTGGGAAATAAGGGTATAGATTTTTTAAAAAAAGTTACAGAAAGTAACATACAATGTAGGCTTTCACGGCGGTTTCTGCACCATAATCAGATATTTTCGGCCTTCAACACGGTGCTGCCGGCGCCGCAAGTCAACGCGGTGCTGCCAACAAGGACACTTCGCCCCGTCAGCAACGCCACTGATGATGCCTGCCATAAATGTGCAGGCGAAATGTTTAGACAATTCTCCGTTGGACTACGGCCTTCAAGCCCGGAAATAACTGACTATGGTTACAGAAAGTAAGTTTCAGAAATCATGCGTTTCTCTTTAGATGCGATTTAACTTTATCCTTTGGGAGCCTAGGTTTGATTCCCCCCACTACTGGCAAATAACGAATCTTATCATCCACTTGGAGCCACCGAGTCGCCCGACGTCTGAAATTCTGAATGGAAGAGCAAATCACGTCCAAGACAGATACTGTTTTTTCAATCATCAAAGACAAGGCGCTGCCCTGATTAGAAGTACAATGACCTTATATTGAAATATTATCGGTGTACATGAAGTTCGATGCCTTCTGTACTAATTTCTGTAAAAAAGGAAAGTGACCAATTTTGAATTAGTAATGATTTTGTACTCTTGTATTATTTGTATTGTAAATATTGGAATTTATAAAAAATAATGAATTAATTTTTTCAATATTGCGTTCACATAATAGTTAAATTAAAATAGGGTGCTCAGAATATCATAGAAAGCAAACGCTTTGAGATCGGAAAATATTGGAGAATACATGGAGACAATAAATATTAAGTTACGTAAGAAGTGCACGAAACAGTTGCCCGCCCGATGGCATAAAATCATCACAAATAATCTAAAGTATATGTACTTACAAATTCAATAATACATATAAAGAATGCTTGTAATGTAAATATTAACGACGTGAAAGATTAAAAAATATATTTGTGCAATTTGTTTTAAAATGAAAAGATTTCTTCAAATGATAGAAAATGGTCAGGTGTTTACGACATTGGCGTCGTTATAGAAATATATATGAGGCGTCGCTTTGTCGTAAGAATTTATTGGTGCATGAAACTTTTTCAATCGCGGCCATCTTCAGTGCTACAAAAATAACAAAATATCTAAATTTGTATCTATTATAGAATATTATTTGTGAAATTAATTAAAACACTAAGGGCAATGTTGTAAAATGGAAACACAATTTAAAGACAGAATTCATGAAATGGCAAATGTACAAAGTACGATAATCATTAAAGAAGGTAAAATAAGAGTCATAAGTAAAGCAATAACTGATGTAAATTTCAAAATTAACTTTCTTCTAACATCACTTAGGAAATATTGTCAGTAAACCGGTTTTTCTTTTATTGAGTATCGACAGTACGTGGTAATACTAAGAAAACTGTAAATGTAAACGTCTCTGCATCGGCGACATTTTGCAAATATTCTTGATCATGATCGCTTAATACGCCCACAAATCTAGTGTTCCAATTTTCACTGGTAAGTGACTTTTACAGAAGTCACTTACAAACTACGAAGAACAACAATTGTTTATTATTTTCTGTAAATAATGGTGTTCAATCCATTTCATTTATATCCATCTAAAGAGCCCGTTTTCTTCGCTGTAGCCCAACTGCTAGGCATTCTCTCTAGACCTCGAGAGCGTCTTTCACTGCAGATTTTAACGGGCTATGAGAGAAAGAAGGACAGTGTTCTCTTAGTTCATTTTTTGTCCTCCAAACGAGTTCACTGTTGAGAGCTGTGACAGTACGAGTGCGTTTTAAAGCATCATATAGCACGCTTATCATCCATTTAAACAAACTAAACACTGTGAACTAAAACTAACAATCAACAGTAGTATGAAAACTGTAGTCCATGAAAGACATGAAAATAGAAACCACACGTTTGGCTGATTGCAACCTAGAGCTAGCCACAATTCAAAAAACTTCTGATCTAATGTGCATAATGCATTCTCCTATTTACGTCACTTTGCATTTGACAAAGATAGAACGAATGATTTAATGTAAAATTAGATCAATATTCAATTACGAATTATCCAGTCATGATTAAATCAACTGAAAAGTCACTTTATAGAATCAACAGTGACCTACCAATGTACGTGTGATTGTGTTTGTGTGTGTGTGTGTGTTTCTGGGAGGGGGGGGGGATGACGAAACCCAGCTTAGTTCTTTCCCTCTATATTTGATTCGGCAAGGACTGACTGTTTCATTACTTTTATTGTTCGAACCATCTGAACCCACAGTTATAGTATTCTCTTTAACACTTATCAGTTGTTTACAAAAAATATCGAAACTGCCGCCATGCGTACTAGCTTCGTTGAAAATCCGGCATTCTCTTACAGCTAGCTGTCGTTATGCGTCACGCCCTTATTTTAATACGTGCCAACCGGGAGAGCTGGCTCAGGGCATCAACTGATGTCACTGCAGTCCCTCTGACCGGGAGGACCTAGGCTTTTACTCACGACGGTATGGCAAGGTTTTCCACACTAGCTTGTTAGCTAGGTCGAATTCAGTCGCTGTCTGGAGGAGAATTCTAGCGGCTCTGATCGGTAATTTTCCGAGGTTTCTCCGATCAACACCATGCGAATGCCGAAGAAGTACCCCAATAAACGGGCCAGGGACCGCGCGCGATCTTTCCTTCCTCTTCCTTGTCCTATCCTCCCCTTACACACACTAACACGCGCTACACAAGCACACTTGCCTAGAGACCGGGGGCTTAGAGATTGACCCGGCTGGGGCAGTGCCCAGCTCGTGGGAGATACCTGGATGGGGGCAGCGGGAGGAAGACCACCGCCACATCCCGAGGAAAATACACTACACTTACGGGAATAATGATCGTGGTAGTTCACGCGCCCAGATCCACTAACAATCAATGAATCAATCAGTATATGTCGATGTAGATAACAGTTACGCACTGGAGGAACAAAATGAAGGTTGAAATAGTTCTTAAAAAACGTGTCTCTTCGTGGAAACAACCGTAAGTACAGAACATATTCAAAATATACATGCTCTTTCCATGTGTCATGAACTGAAAATATCTTAACATAAACTTCCAGAAAATGATTGTGTTATGTTTCTAAATTTATTTAGAATTAGTAGTTAAATATTACTTATTTTTTACTGGAACTTATTGCTTGTTAATGCCTTTGATACGGAGCTCGATGTACACTATTTATCTGCATTGAGAGGGCCCAGTTACGAGGAAAATATAGAAGAAATAGTTGAATGGTGCTACATGTTCTGTTATGGAGGGAATTATGGAAGGAAAATATGAAAAGAAAAACAGAGTGAAGTAGACACCTGTTAATTAGTGAATAACTAAATCTTAATAATTACGTTTATGGGGGAAAAAATTCTATGTACCACGTTAACTGGATCTCAGGCGACAAGAGGTCCCCGAACTCAAAAGCCTCGGCATTTTGTAGCTGCTTAATCATTAGAAGTAATTAAAAAGTGTATTTATTTAATCTCACTTTTTCACTGCTTTGTCATATAGCGACCATCATATTGTTTTTATCATTGGGGTAACAATTTGGGGAACACATGAGGACAATATGAACAAGCAATCACAAACATCCTAACCCCGGGTCGGGATTAGATCTCGTGACCCTTTACGCTGAGGCGGCGATGGCCTCTCAACCATAGCGACCTCGTCTATCCAGGCTGGCCATTAGAACCCTTATAACCTCTCGGTGCATTAATTTTTTTTCCTTCAATCAGTTTGTGATTTATTCTGGATTACACCCTTCCTCCGTGTCGTTGGTGCTCTGCGGGTGGAGGAACGGCATTGACAAGTGGTTTTTAAACTATAAAAGTTTGGTTAGATGCGGCAATGGATAAAATTATAAGAGGCGAAATTAATTTTAGGACAAAAAAATAATTTAACTTGTATCAAGATATATACATAAACAAGACAAAAGAATAATATTATAGAAGCTATAATGTAGTCTTGCGTTCAGTTGATATAAAGGAAATTTCAATATCTGCAACGGATCAGGAGATATTTGAGGAGAAAATCTTAGTCAGCCATCCTGTATATCACACTTCGCGTTTCTGTGGTCTCTGGTTGCACATTCCTTTCGTTTCCACCTGACCTCTCGATCCAAAATTTCAATTTTCACTAAGTTTCCATTTGCAATCCATCTCATCTTAGAACAGAAATTCTTAAAGTCGGCAAAAGATGTAGAGTTTTTAAAAAGATTGTTTCGCTAGCATGTTTTGTGTAACGTTCAATATTGCGGAA